CTTTGTTGTAAAAGTAGGAAATTTTATCTTTGTGCCTTTATAATTTCTTGTACTTTTGTGATAATGGTAGGGTTTATTTTTTTTAAATAATGCAACGTTTACGAAATATGATCGAAGATTCTGACAGTGATGAAGAATAAATTCCAAGGCGTCCACGATGGATAAGAGAAAGGAACAATTATTTATATAATAAGGTTTCGAATGTCCAAAGAAGCTACTTTGTGTCTTTTATCCAAAATCGAGCATCAACTGGAATATACATCAAACCGGTAGCAAAAACATCGTTTATAGTAAGTAGACAACTTTCATGTGTGATGTGTGCCACTGCAATGGTTCAGATCCTATAACAGGTCACAAATAGTTAGGATCAGGGAACATTTAAGCAACAGCGCTGTTTGCCATTGCGGTGTGTCTCAAAGCGGTACACTAGACCCGACTCTTTTTCTCGCTTATATAAATGATCTACGTAAGTTGCAGTTAAAGGGCGTAGACATCGTGATATTTGCAGATAACACAGTACTTTTGTTTCACGGCTCATCGTTGAGTAATGTTAGGAGTTTCGCTGAAAAAGGGATAAAAATTGTAACATCTTGGCTTTAAGACAGCCTTCTCACTCTGAATACTGCCAAAACAAAGTACGTTTGTTTTGGTATAATAACCCATTCTCGACCAGGCAGTGATTTCCAAAATCAAATCCATACTCACCCATGTAACCGGCTACTGCGTGTACCTGCCACGTTTAATTGTGAATATTTGTCAAGTGTGACAAGCATAAAGTATTTGGAATTATTCTTGATGAAGCTCTTAGCTGGGTTCCACAAGTAACTGCTCTGGCGAGTAAAACAAGGAGGCTAATATATATATATATATATATATATATATATATATATATATATATATATATATATATATATATATATATTTAAAAATTTACGTGATGTAGCTGGTTATGATGTTCTTTTGTTAACTTACAGGTCCCTGTGTGAGAGCATTATTTCATATTGTATTTGCGTCTGGGGGGTGCGCAGCAAAGACACACCTCATACTAACCGTCCTAAAAGTTATGATGCGGTTGCCTTTTAAATACTCCACATATGACTTGTACAAGTAGTGCGATATGTTATCAGTACGTAAATTATTTGTATACCTGTGTCTTCGTGGATATCATGGCCATTCTGTGCCTTGTCCTCCTAAAAGTAATAAACGAGTAACAAGATTGCCTGTACCTAGAGTCCGGATCACGTTTGCTAGAAGAAGCTACAACTTTTGTGCACTAATGCTTTATAATAAATTATTCTACAAAGTTAAAACTGTTAATAACAGAAATGTTAAAACTGTCATTAACGTTAATAATCATGAATTTAAGAAAATATTAAAACAAACTCTTAACGATTTGAATTATGATAGAATTGAAGAATTGTTCATGAATATCACACACACACAACACACACACACACACACACACACACACACACACACACACACACACACACACACACGAGCGGGCGCGCGTGCGCGCTCGCGCGCAATCACGCACACGCGCAATTTGGCCTTACAGTAGAATTAGAACCATATTATCACTTTTTTAATTTTTTTAACTAACAAATTTCTTTCCTAATATATAATTTATAATACTTAGACAGTGTATGTATTTTAGTTTGCAAACTCCATTGCACAGTTGGTGTGTTTATGTGACTTTTAAATATAAAAGTAGAATCTATTATAATTCCATTTGTGTAATTTCATACGTGGTAGAGCCATACTGCAGTTATATTAGAAGTATAGTTGTAGCACGAAACGGGTCTGCTTGACTGAGGATGAACCACGCTCTCACAGAATACCAGTGTAAAATAGTAGCTTAATGCTGCTGTGATCGTATGGTTTTTTTATAGAAAAAAAAGTAAGTGTAGAGACAGAACCGGAGACCAACTTTACTGGAAACGAGGTGTTTCATCTTAGTCCTCACGAGTGACAACGCATCTGCATTTTGATTCGTAATCGAGGATAGATGTAGATGTCTGTGAGCCACAGCAACTACTTACTATCAGATGGGTGCTCGTTTGTCCCCCTATTCTATAAAAAAATTAAAATAACTTGGCAGTTATATTTAGACTTTGCAAATGAGTATAACATGCAAATTTCTGGAAAAATTATATGCTGCGTTTAAGTGCGTATAAAAAAATGAATATATATAAATGGTTTTGTCCGTAATCAGTGTAAATATATATTGTTGGAGCTATTTATTACCGTTATCAAAATCTTGCTGTTCACATAAATAGACCTTGTACACTATATTTGCGAAAAAAGAAGCATGGTATCATCTGCGTAAGACATTATTTTACATGAGTTAAGTAGTTTTTGGATTGCAAAGGTCACTGACATATATATATATATATATATATATATATATATATATATATATATATATATATATATATATATCAGAAAAGGGTTGGCCCTAATACTTAAAATAACCCAAATAAGTACTTTTTGTTCAGAGCCAATAACCTTTTAGATTTTTAAGCATTGTCTTCAAAAGAGGTCGCAAAAATGTGTACCTGTTTAATTCCAATACCTATGCTCTCTAGCTTATTTAAAAGAATTGGAATACAAACTCCATCAGAAGCTTTTCCTAGATCAAGGAAAATGCCAATTGATTGGTTGCCTTTATATGATTCTTGAGAGACGTAATCGGTCATTTCCCGCGCAGCATCAGCAATGGATAGTTTTGTTCTGAAATCATATTGCATATTGGATAATATGGATATGACTTTGTAAATATTCATAAATCTGTTGTTAATTAATTTTACTTATATTTTAGATGTAGAGGACAGAATTGAGACAGGCCTTATTAAGACCCTTTTTATGAAGTGTAATTGCTTTTTAGCAGTTTAACTAATTTTTTAATGTTTTTAGTAAAAAAAAAATATTTTTAATTTAGACTAGTATATAAACCCAAACCAATAATGTATGGAAGGCTACAGTTGTCACACAATGGCAGTTTCCAAGGTTTCCTATATTCAGCTGCTGTGATAAATGTAGTACATTAACTTTGCGCTGCCACATATCACTGTCACTTTATACTCGCTTTACTCAATTTGCGGTCAGTGCATGTTTTTATGGTTTTAATATCACTTATTTGACCTTTGATAAATCTTAGGAGCTCCATTGAATTTAAATTTTTAATTCATAGAACTAAGCGTTATTTAGCGAAGTCAAATAGCTAAGATCCGTTTGTAGAAATTAAATGGTGTGTGTTAACAGCACTTCTGGCCCTTGGATTATAGCGTGTACTATCAAATCTACCACTAAGCTTAAATAAAATATGTAGATTAGTCAAAAAAACTTTTGTTAAATCTAAATGTGCAAGCCTTAAGCGCTCAATTTGGAAAATCTATAAGTGCACGACTCTTAATGCTCATATGATCGTGAAAAACTGCAGAAAAAAATTCTCAATCAACAATAGAAAATTTTTTTTTAAATTTTACTATGTTATTATTATTGAGGCTCAAATTTTTTTTATTGTTGTTAATTGAAAAAAAGTCTAACAGAATTATCTTAAAATGATCAGAAATCAACTTTAATATTACTTAAATTTTTAGGGTTTTGTACTCAGACATTATCGTAAAAACTAGTATTTTTTACCTGACACGTTTTAATTTTTTTTTATTGAACTTTATTTTGTTTTATATAAGTATAATTATATATAAATCCTAAGTACTTTTAGTGACACAATATAATGTAATGAAAATATGTTAAATATGTTATTATAAAAATAATAACAATATCTTACCATGTTCAAGTGTATATTAAATTTGTTTTTTTGAATATTTTTTTCAGAGCGATCGGTAATTTTCATCACGAGCCGCTGTAAATAAACCCGGATTGAGTCAAAGTGTGTCAAGGCTGCTCAAGACACTGAACATTTTGGAATCATTCAACCGAAAAAATTAATTATAACTATACAAAACAAAATTTAACAGAAATTTATATTACATGGCTTTCCACATGACAGATGAAGAGATAAAAAACAGATTGATTTGAACAATTGATATTTTCAAAAGTTATTGTATTTATCCCTCGACTTGATAAATCTATAATAAGCCACTAAAACCACTTTTTATATAAAAATAGCAATCAATCGATTTAAAAAGTAATAATAGGTTCAACAATCATTTATCTTTCTGACAATGTGCTTTTTATATCATTTATACGTTTATTATGATTGTTAAATACGATTATATGCAACAAAACGTTGGATTCTTGATTTTTAGTAGTAGAACATACCTACGTGCTTTGCGCTTAAGGCATATAAAAATGAATGATACTTAAATTAACAATTGAATGTAATATGTTCAGCAGTAGACTTTTAATATGTTACAACGTTAAATGTACGATTTTGAGCGAATTTCGAACCCCCATAACTCAAAGACTATTTGAACTTCACAATTTGCGTGTCTGATAGTCTTATCTTATATAAAATTTGGCTTCTTACTAATCCTGCGAGTCGTCTCATGATTAATAAGAGTGTCAAATTTTATGGGAAACCTAATAATAATACTTAGTAATTAAGTTCTGAAAAGTTCCATTTTTTCACATATTGATTCACGAGTTAACTAATTTGCTGATAAGTAAGTATTTTATCTACAGTTAATTCTTATAGTTTAAGTAAATGTAAAAAACATTGTAGTGTAAACTTTATTCAGAAGGATTAAATCTTCTTCAAAAGTTTATGTTATCCCACCAAAAACATAGATGTGAAAAGAGGCTAAGTCCGGCAAAAACGATGACGTTTGAGGTTGCCTGGCCGATGAAATTGTTGTTGCTTAGTTTCCTGTAGCTATGATTTAAGAAACTACTATGAAGCTTGGGCGTCAAATACAGATAAAAAAGAATTTCGCATGTTTTTCGCATATGTTTTTGGTAGGATATATAATTTGACACTATTCATATGTGACTGCACTGTGATATATACTTACTCAATATTTGTTTGTGTGAAGACTCTGCGCCCGAGCTGGTGTACACGTTCATCGAGCAGGCGCTCCGGGCGGGCGGAAGCGCGGCACTGCGCTGCGTGGCCGCAGCCTCACCGCCGCCGCACATCACCTGGTTGCTAGATGGGCAGCCCATTGAACAGTTCCTGCCACACCACAGGTAATCTATCCCATTGCCTCATTGGCCTAGTAGCCATAAACGTGATTACCCATCATGAGATCCTAGGCTGAAATCCTGGATCGGGCCAAAAGATTTTTCATAGAATATAGGTGACAAATGATCACACATTCCACCTTATGGTAAGTTATAACTTTAATCCATAGACACATTCATCAATCCACGATTAAGAATCAAAACGCAGATGCCTTGAAGATTATGATGGAATATCTGGTTTCCAGTAAAAAGGGTCTCCGGTTCTCTGAACTGAGCATACGAAACAATCAGCATTGTTCTATTGGGTTTTTCTGTCAAGAAATGCTGAATAGCAGCTCAGAGTAAGGAAGGTCTCCTTCGAAACTGGCCGCCGTAACCAAAATTTGTTCTGGAACACAATATTGTCATTATTACTTTCATTTCTTATTATGGATTTTAATAACTAAGCACACGGTCAGTTCTTCATAACTCCTTAAGTAGACTGCAAGAAGACTAGTTTTTTGTTTTGTAAACCGCTAACGTTGCTTTCGACAATCTATGAATGATTTTATTTAATGTGAAAACACTATCATTATTCATTTATTTGTGCACTTTGTCAACGTAAATTTATTTCCTTAAAACATTGAGGGTCAGTTCACACCGAGGCGTGATGTGACGCGATGTGACGTGATGCGCCGCGCACATTTTAAGCCTTCAATATGCACACGGTCAGATCCGATCACGGCGATATTCCGTCAAATTTCAAACGGTCGGATCCGATCACACCCACCCACAGCACTTTAAAACATAAAACCTTATATTTAGAGACTACTTGTCCATGAAGAAGTTTGGTATTATAGGCTCCATGTGAAATTTTCTATCCCTTAATGCAATAAAAAGCTCAGTTAGTCTATGGTATTTATTTATAATCTACGTTCATTTCGTACGACTGTTAGGTGTGGTGGCGTGTTATTGTGTTAGCTCATCGAGTAGTATAGATAGAAGTCTTTCTGTGCAAGCATCACTTTATCGAGCTGCATTTTCCGAAGATACCGTGTGAGCGAGGAGACGACGCCGCTTGGCGACGTGGCATCGTTGCTAAACGTGTCGGTGACGGCGACCGACGGCGGCCGCTACACATGCCGCGCGCACAACGCACTCGGCGCGGCCGAACACTCCGCCAGACTCAACGTATACGGTGACTACCATAATATTTCAATATTATGTTTGCCACGTTGTAGCTGACTTTCAAATTTTATCGAGGCTTTTACACTTTTGTAATTTTATACTTGTTGTACATCTTTTGTTTTTGCCTGCTTGTTAAAGTCTTACCTCTCGTATCTGCGTGGACACCATACGTGATGTTGATTTAAGTAAAACTTATTTCTGTAAAACCAATTAAGTTCCAAAAACTTGTCCAGCCAAATGTCCAGGCAATGAATTATCTATTTTTGATAAATTTTTGGTACAATATAGATTTTGTTTCTTAGAATCACTATAATTTAAGAACAATTATTTATATTGAAATATTGGACAGTGTTTCTAATTGCATAAAATACAATTTTGTCTCTGCACATGTCTTTAGCAAGCTTATGCGCTCAACTTATTTAAACTGAAGTCACGCGTTTTAATTTTTGCCAATATTTTTCAATTTCTGTAAGAATACTAAATGTAGTTTTCAACAATGAGATCATCCACATCTTCTTATCACCAGGGCGGCGCCTTTTAGAAATAAGGTGGGATATTTGACAGATTTCAAACAGGGGAGAAGTAAATTTCTTAGAAAAGTATAGCAATTAATGTGTATTTAATAAATATGAGTTATATTTTTTATTTTTTTAATTAGATGGGCGAACCGAAATACGGATATTCCTATAAGGAGAAAAATTTTAAAAAAGTGCGAATATGGCACAGAGGCATGGTTTTGTTTATATACATACACTGAAAACCGAAAAAATTATAATTAGATCGCAACTTTTCAATGTTGATGACATGGTGCAACCATCTGCGTACCGAATAAGTCACCAGAGTCCCGAGTGGCGACATTTGGTGAGCGGAAGATTATTAGCCCTCACTGTACGGTTTGTTGTGTGCGCAGGTCCGCCGGCGGTGCGTGCGCTGGGCCCGGTGCGCGTGGTGGCGGGCGAGAACGTCACCATCCACTGCCCCTACTCCGGATATCCGATCAGGTCCATAGAGGTGCATTCCATAGGATGATTCCTATAACACACACGATCCATGCAAATCTATGTTAAATCATTTTAAACCATTTTAATGACTTTTTATTTCTTTAACGTATTAAGTATGTACTTTAAAAATATACGTGAACATATTGTGTTTCTGATAAGGTGAAATCAACAAAAGATTTTTATTTAAATGTGTTTCATCAATGAATAGTAAGCAATCGCATAATAAATTTTAAAATTACTATTATCTAAAACGTTATTTTTGTAATGTTTCCATATAATATCTAGATGGTGTTTTACAAGCAGTCTATCTTTGCTGCTTTCCTTTAAGCTATCCATTTTTAATTTGTCTGACCGTAATTCATAAAAGTTTTACCTTTGTATATTAAGCTAGCTGTATTTTACTTTCAACTGCACCTAAAATAAAACAGACATCTAATTAACGCTTTTTACATTGGCATAGATTCCAAATATTGTTAACAAAAGATCATTTAAAATCACATAAAATTCACAGCTAATTCAAACAAAACATGACAAAAATGTCAGAAATTATTTGGCGGCAACATTTTGAATATTTTAGGCGACAATCTCTACTCTGTAAAACTGTTAAGTAACTATTACATATTTATACATACTTTTAAATGTTATATTGGCCTTAATATAATAAAATGTGCTTGTACTCACTCTGAGATATTAGCAGTATAACCGAAAACAATGTATGTTCCTCATCATCATCATCATTATAGCCCTTCACAAGTCCACTGCAGAACATATGCCTCCCCCAAGGAATACCACAAAGCACGCTCCTGAGCCACCTTCATCCTTCGAATTCCTGTATGTCTTACCAGGTCGTCACTCCATCTAGTAGGGGTACAAGGCTGCTACTCGAGAAACTTTTTTCCCCATCTATTATCGTTTCTTCGAGATATATGGTCGGCCCATTGCCACTTCACTTACTAATCCGTTGGGCTATGTCGGTTACTCTGGTTCTGCTGATGATATCTTCATTTCCAAGTTTATCACGCAGAGGAACCCCGAGCATAGCCCTCTCCATAACTCGCTGAGCAAACTTGTGCTTCCTCATATGGCCAGCAATGATAGACCACGTTTTAGTTCCATAAGTCATAACAGGCAACACGCACTGGTTGTACAGTCTCGTTTTGAGGTTTTGAGGTATAGCTGACAAGAAGATGTTTCGTTATTTCCCGAACGCTGCCCAGCCGAGCTAAATCCGTTGATTGACCTCTCGGTCGAAGTTGGACATACCTAATCGGACTATTTGTCTCAGGTTTGCTAGTCAACAAATCCGTTGGGAGACACTATTGAGGCCATTGAGCATAGTGCTTAGGTCCTCCAGTAATTCTGCTATAAGGACTATATCGTTGGCAAATCGAAGGTGAGCTTTGACAGTTGGCTCTTTTTGACAGACAGATCTCTGGTAAAAGCTTTGGAGCCTCGGTGCCGCTCAATTGCTTCTTCAATAAGAGCTGTATTGAAGTTGCGTAAGTCCCGCCGCATGTATTTGGAGATCTGTTAATTCAGTTGCCTGTGTGCTGCCAAATCTGCTGAAGACTGCAGCTTCATTGCTCGTCTAACAGCCATGAGACTAAAAATGTGATAGGAGAGTTTTTGTGTTCTTCTGCGGTGGGTTTTGCAGAACTCAGCTCCGATCGCATGGACAGTTTCCATGAGCTTGTCATTAATATCATCCACTTCATTGCAGTCTTCTAGGCACTGAAAACTGTTTTGTAATCCGAGCTGAAAATTTTCGGGACCCTGGGTTAGCGCACGAGGCGGATGGAACGTTGAATTCATTAGACAAGACCTCTAAAACTTAACGTTTAGGTTCAGTGTGCCTCTAATCATTCGGTGATCGCTGCCAGCTCTCACCCTCGTGATCACTGAAATATCACTGACCAGTTGGCGTCATAATTATTTAATAATTTTGTATAGAATGCCGAAAAACTGGTCATTCCCGTATTTCGGCGTCCTATATAAAATTATTTTATAATGCTTGCGGCTGTATTACTCTCTCTTAATCACTAAAGATTACCTTGGCAAAGAACCTAAATAACGATATGCATCATGTTGGATATCGAAATGGAATTATTATTTGGAGATGCATGTAACATTTTAAGTATTTAGATTTTAACAAAAAAAGATACTAAAAGTATAACATTAATTTATGAAATTAAAATAGATCAGGTCTCTAATAAAAAATAATGCACAGTACCTACAATTTAATATTACAGTGTACACAGTACAGTGGAAAGTTTGATAAAAAGTCAAAAATAAAAAATGTTAAATATTTGCTTTTACACGTTATTTATGTTTCATCAATATGTTTTTACTCGTATGTGATTAATTAGATTAAATTAATATATCTAACGTATCGAGGACCTCTGGACATAAAATAGTAAATACACAAACCTTGTCATTTATGTGTTATCTTGCATGGCTAACTAGCTAGTATAGGATAAGTTTCCCAAAGTTTTATCTAAATTCTCTAAATATTTTCGTTTTCTTTAATTGCTAAAAATATCTTGGTTTTATTTCCCATGTTTATTATTCTGGATCATATTTAGTTGCCACTCTAAAATAAATGTAGTTACGCAACCACAAGACCAACGGGTTGTTACGGTTTGTACTTAGAGGCGGCTGCATAAGCATTAGACAGTATCGAGTACCTGTAGAGTCAGCGCTTTTGGTTGCATGAGGTATCAGGCAGAGCTCAAGGGATCTGCCACTTCGTTTTGACATCGACTTCTGTCAAGACGTATTAATTAAGTAGTTATAATTATAATTGTATTAAGAAATAAAATAGATTTTATATAGTTTTTAAAAAATTATTTTACGTTCCCGTAATCTTGACTGGCGCAGCCGGTAGGATCGTCACACTTCGGAAGTGTTGCGTCCTTCTCGAATTCGATATAAAACTCTGTCGTAATCGGAGGTCCGCGGCGCGAATAAAAACCGAGACGATCTTCGAACCAAAGAATTTGTCAAGGAAGTGGAGCAGATCCTACCATGAGAGCAGCTGGCGGCTGGTGAGTAGATCTTTTCACCATCCTTTCCACTACCTCGACGTTCTGTTATCTTGAGATCGAACTTCTCTCATTTTAACGTATTCCGGTTAAACAGTTACAAAATTAAATAAATAATTGTATGTAATAAATAATTTAAGTTTTACCTATTTTCATAATTTACAAATTATATACAAATTATAGTTTTACAAAAAAATAGTTTTATTAAGCATATACATTATATATCTTTATAATTTTGTGTGATATTTAGATTTCTTTTACATTTTATTTTATTTTTATTGTTTATGTGTGTAAATTAATACATAATTATGGAGAATATCAGACTTATTCTTAGTGAAATGATTAAAATAATCCCTAAGTTTGATGGAGATAAACGTCATTTAAATCTATTTTTAAGAATGTGTGAATATGTTATAGCTAAATTTACTGGCACGACGGAACAGAATTTGTACGTGATGAATAAAATAACAAGCCGCCTTATCGGCATTGCAGCTGCATTAGTCGGTGAACGCGATGATATCGAAACGTGGGATGAGTTTAAGCAATTAATAGTTCAGCATTTTGGAGACTCGCGAAGTGAGGTGTGTTTAAATATCGAACTTGAGACCTTAAGAATTAAACCCGGAGAAAGTTATTTAGATTTTTGCTGTCGAATTCAATCTTTGATATCAATTTTAATAGGCAAAGTTAATCGGTTGTCGGACTCAAAAATGCGCTGTAGTAAAAAGGCTATTTATGAAAATACGTTATTAAACGTTTACTTGTACAATTTACCAGAACATTTAGTTCGAGTAGTGCGTCTCAAGGCCGCAAATTAATTAGAGGATGCACTCTCCAATGTATTAGAAGAAGTTAACTTCCATAGTCAGTACCAAATGAGAAACAAAATGTCTGGATCCAATCTTGCATATCATACACAACCGCATAACGCATCGCCATCATTTAAATTCGGTAATAATAACACCCAACCTCAACATTTTTCTAGTGTTAAGCCCATGCTCATGAACCAACCACCAAGATATAATTTTGGCATCCTACCGAATAAGCAGGTGCAGATGCCGCTTCCCACTCAAGGTCAGCAGCGACAATTTAATAGTTTCGGAAATTATTATCAAGCACCACAACCTAATAACAACCAAATGCAATTCGAATATCGTCCACCTCAATTTGGCTATAGACCTGTAGGCCTTCAGCCTTTACCTTCGATGCGTCCTCAACAGTTCGGTATGCAACAGCGATACAATAATAATAGTAATGTCCCTCAGCATAACCAACCACGAACTAATACAGATGTGTCGATGCGTACAGCACCAGTAGCACGACAGCAGCAAGGTTTTAGGTTAAATGAATTAGAATTAAACGAGAATGATTTTAATGACGACATGTATTACTACGAAAACCCATATTATATCGATCAATATCCTAATTATGCTTCTTATTATTACCCCAAATATCAATCCGAAGAAACTGTAAGCGTTGAAACTAAAACCAACGTGGCAGATACGAATAATATTAAGACGACGGAAAATATTGAAAATTTTCACATAAACATCTCAACAAAACCCCCGAAACTCGCTGATCAAACTAGACGCATTAGATTCCAACGACGACACCAATTCGATGCAATTAAACGTAGACGATACAGACAAAAAGCTTAAAACCATGTAGACAGCTTGATCGAGGAAATTTTCCGCATAGCAAAGCTTTATAAACCAAATGAGAACTCCGATACAAGAACTGTGTCTGACCCATCAGCTACTTTTTCAGCATTTGATCCAATAGATATAACAGAACAAACTTATCCCGTACCATCTATTAGCACAGAAACCGTACACTCAGCGTTAGAATTAAAATCTACAGGTATACCTATATTAAGGGATGCTGTAGATACTAAGCCTACTCAAATACTTATATTCACTTGGTTTACAAATGAAATGCAAGTCAAAGACATTTCAAATAAAAAGCACAAAATTTTAGAAGTGTTCTT